AAGTGAATGTATTATCGCCTGAAGACTATTTGTATCATGTAATGCAAGTGTGGAGATTTATTTTCAGTTTTACTTTAAAGAACCATGGTTATTGTATTATCATTTGGGTATAAAAATTGGGACGTTACAGGCAACTAGGTCAAAAGCATCAGCAGCAACAATAGCACCATGAGTGGCTAGGATGACAGCTACCTCTGCAAGTTGGGCCAGGTTTGGGAGGCCCACATCAGGAATAGCCGCTACATCTGCGCCTCCCTTAACAATCTGAACATTCGGAAGTGGGGTCTGTTGAACCAATGGAGACTCAGTGGACTGAGAAGAACTCATAGATATAGCTCCGAAGGGGGGTGGTGCAACTTCCAGTGGCTTTCTTGCGCCACGCTCTTCTCTCGGAGTCTCAGGAACAAAATCATCTCCGCCGATAGAGGAACGGTCGGAGTGCACAGAATCAGCGGGGTTTGATGGCTCTGCACCCTTAGCAACTAGGCCGCCCGCAACAACAGCTCCCTGAGACGGTACCTGCAGAGGCAAAATTCGCAGAGGATGCTAATGCCCAGGCCTTGCAAAACTCTGTTAAGTTTCGCGCCTTGTTTGACCAGTTGGGGCTGAGCCAAGCCGCCAGGTTGGAAGCAACAAAAGCCCTCATTAATAACTTTGAAGTGCACCAAGATGAAGTTGCTGAGGCTAAGGAGTATGTGCCTGGGCGCATCCAGGAAGCTTATGGGGCCATTACTTTTTCAGAGGCAGACAGAGCATACCCATTTTCCCATAATCGTCCTCTTTTTGTCACAGCATACATCAATGATGTAGAGTTCAAGCGTGCTTTCCTTGATGGCGGGGGCGTCTATAAACATCATCACTACTGACACCTTTGCAAAGGCTGGGATCCCAGAGTCTAGGATGGTTCGCCAACCCATCACTGTGATGGGTTTTGGCGGCGAGAAAAAAGATACCAAGGGCCATGTGGTCGTGGACCTAGGAATTGGTGAGATCCGTTCCGCAACCAAGTTTCATGTGATTGAAGCGGACACAAATTGCCACATGATACTTGGCAGAGCTTGGATGCACCGATATGGAGCTATCCCATCTAGTTATCACTAATGTGTGAAGGCAAAGTTGGGAAAGCGCACAATAACCAGATAAATGCGTCTGAACAGCCATTTGGGGTTGAGGAGGGACACTATTCGAATGCAGTTTTCTTTACTGAGTTGTTAACGGGTGAAACTCCAAGGACCGGTAAAGTTGCAGGAGTAAAATTGCCAAAATGGGAAGGCATTCGGGATGCAGAGGTTGCTCCAGAAAGTAGTGGGCAGAAGAGGAGCAGCGAGTCCACAAGTCCTCCGGTAAGACAGTTTACTACCTATGAAGGGTCTTGGAGGCCAGGCTTCATACCTTGGGGGATGGCCCCGAGACAAATAAATGTGACGATGACGAGTTCCAAGAAGAGTTGGTGGAGACGCCTGACCCCATCCTTGAATTCTATTTAGTTCGGCCACGCCGTTTATTATTTTGTATGTATTGTTAGAGACTTGGGTCGGGCACAACCTAGTCTGCCTTAAAAACTTGCAGATCAGGGGTTGGACCGGGAAGCGCAGGCCTCCTTCTACAATGGACACCACCGTGAAGGGGCATTTGTCCAGCTCGCCCCAGGGAGTGTCTCCTTTCTTGGCGAGCTCCAAGTGGACATCATCTGGAATATTATACTCTCTACGGAACTCGGCCAGTGCCCCCGGAGAATTCACCATGAACCGGTACTTCCCCATCTATCCCGGTTTTATTTAGTTGGTTGATTTAGGTCGTATCTCAGTAAAAATTTGGTGAATGTTTGCTCGGACTTTGAGCTTCACCGGTTGTAACGCTGAACGGGCCTGGTCAGTCCTAGTTTGTTCTGCATTATTAAGAAACAAGTCCAAGGATTAGCGTGGCATAAATTGCACGTCTTCACTATGTGGCCGACTTGGCCTTCCTAGATCGGTTCTAGCCCTCTTTCTTACAGCTTGGTCTCGGCCTCAAAACAAGACCACAAACAGGTTCTTGCTCGGCCAAATCCTATTTATAGATCAAAAACTTGGGTTTTGCTTGGTCTCGCTTAGGGTTCAGGCTGTTTATCCTAAGTGTCAAGTCCGTGCATCGAAACTAGGGGAAACAAGGGGCATGGGAGCCCCATCTGCTTCTCTGATTCCAGTTTTTCCTAAGGTGTACCAGTATTACCCCAAAGAGGGGGCACTGGTAAGATTCTAACAGTCCCAGGCAAGAACATGAAAAACGTAAATGGCGAGTACGAAGGAGGGGCAGGTAAACTTACCGATATGGACGCCAAGTGAGGAGTAGTTAACCACGATCTTGTCTACAGCCTTTGAGAGGACGAAGGTGGTCGAGAACGACTAGAGGAGCAGTGATGGTAGAAGCTTGGAAACTTGAAGGCTAGGGTTTGGCTCGAGAGAGAAGATGAACAGTAGGGGCGTATGTGACCCGTCATGTGCGTATATAAAAGAGGGGGGAAGCCAAAGGGTGGCAACCTTTTGAAATTTGCGCGGGATGAAGACAGCTGTGGGTCTGCACGGAACCAATGGTGTGAATCCACGTGGCATTGAAAAGATGGCTCTGTCAGTACGGCTGTACGATCGATGACTAGACTACTGGGGCAATCCCCGACGACCGACCAATTCGGATGGCCCGGTCAGAATGATAATCCCAAATCACGCTCAGCTCGGATGGGAATAAGGGGCAATTGAGAGGGAGATTTGCGCCGGGCTATGGCGCCGAACCGAATCGGCACGGCCTCTCGGGCTATCGCGTTTGGCCGAGCTATGTCGCTGACCGCAATGCGAAGACATGCATGTGCCCAATCGAGCTTTTGACTCGGCTAAGTCTTCGGTTGGATCTGCAGTGGTGCGTTTGGACCGAGCCAAGCATAGCCCGGAATGAATTTAGACCGGGATGAAGGCCTGCACGCCTCACGGCCAGTCAGTTCGGATGGACCGACTTCTTACAGTTCGGCCGTCCCGGTCGTGGTGGTGTTTCTTCCCAAGGGATAGATCGGTCATGATATCCCGGTTGAGTGTGCCTTCTGGACCAATGGTGTGATGGAGGGGAAATCCACTCGTGGCACGCGTCAATACCGTTTGGCAGTTCCACACACGCTGTTTGGAGGTTTTGGCCTTTACACGCGTAAGGAAGGTAGAGGGGAGCACTACCACCTGTCTAGGGAAGGACAACAGAGGTAGTGCGCCCACAATCTCTGAGGCTGCATGGCCAACCTAGAAAAAGGAGGCAGGGGGGACGTTGGAGGTAAGCAATCTGAGGAATTCCCAACTCTCTCTCTTTCAAAAGTGCTCTCTCCTTCTTCAAGTGTGCTGACTTGATCTTCGGAGGGTCTATCCGGCAGCACACCGCCGGGCAGTTCACCGTCTTTCTGTTTTCAGGCCAAGCGACGCTGCGTAAAGCTCAAGCGCAAGGAGTACGGAGAACAAAGGATATTTTACCCCCGTACAATTGGCGCCGTCTGTGAGAAAAACTCGACAGACAAACCTTGCTCTTCAAGCTTTTTTGACTGTTTCCATGGCTAACTATGACGAAACTCCACTGTCCGTCGTCGATGGTATCACACTGGAGTCTGTCCGACGGAGAGATGGCCCTCCTGCTATTCCCACCATGGCGGGCTTGAAGACCTCTTCCAGGGGTGCGCGCGACAAACGCGCACGGAGCACTGATTGCTCGAAGAGTCCAGAGAGTCACATGCTCAGCGCCTGGAGCACAAACTCAAAGACCAGGACGCTCTCATTCGCAAGATGGCAGCTGAAATGGGGGCGCTAAAGCGCCAGATGGAGGGGAAGGGTGCTGCTCGAGGGGGCAACCTCAGTGAGCGCACCCTGCCCTCTCGCTCTGGCAATTGCCACCAGGAAAGGACGTCTTCCCTCTCTATCACCAGACGCTATGGGATAGGAGACTCCGACCCACAGGTAGGAAGGTCTTATACTCGCGACGGCAGCTACCGTCCCTCGCACCCCTCGTCGTCGTCGAGAAACTCTTTCTCTGTCCATTCGGGAGACCTGGGGGATGTACTGGAAGAGAGGGCTCGCCGTAGACAGACCCGAAGGCTGCCAGCATCGCAAAGGCTGGGCTCCCAGATCCGTTGTAGTGAGGAAGTGGCAATGCCTGCGCCTTGGATGATAGCACCAGGGGACAGAGAGCTAGCAAGACTCACCGCTACCCCGCTGTCCCCAGAAATTGAGAGCACGCCGCTCCCTGTCGGATTCCACCAGCCTAAGTTCACGTTGTACGACGGCAAGACTAATCCGTACATTCACGTGAGTCATTACCGGCAAGTAATGGCAGGACATCGACGCAATGACGCCCTCATGTGCCTCATATTCCCAGCGAGCTTGGGCGAACTAGGCCTGAAGTGGTTCGAAAGGCTTCCGGAGGGGTGCATCGAGGGCTGGCAACAACTAACGGAGGCCTTCGTCACCAGATTCAAAACCAACACTCGAACACAGGTCGACCATCTCCTGGGCGTTAAGATGGAATCTGGAGGTTCTTTGAACGCATACAATGCCAAGTACTGGGAAAGTTACAACGAGATCCTCTATTGCCCCACCAATTTGGCGATCACCCAATACAAGTGGGGTCTCCCAGTCGGACATAGGCTGCGAGATTCGCTTACGATGCACCAGCCCACTACCATGGAATCTTTGATGCAACGGATCAACGAACACATCCGAGTGGAGGACGATGCTGCCACTGCGACCGAGAAGGAGAATCCGGTCCCGGCAGACAGAAGAGTGGTGGGGAAGGTTCACTCAGTAGGGCAGGAGGGCAACCGTCCAAACGACCGGTCAAAAGATCAACGTCGTGGCTCAAACCGCGATGATAGGAACAAAGGTCGCAGAAACGACCGAGCTAACGCTCCTCGTGATGAAGAGGAAGATGCCAAGAGAAAGTTGAAAGCGCGAACCGGTATCACCACGGTCTTTAAAATCCCTATTTACCGCATCCTAAGTGAAATCCGAGGTGAACCCTACGTCCGTTGGCCGGCCAAGTTGGGAAACACGCAGAGAGGCTTCAACTCGAGGTATCGCTGCACCTTCTATGAAGAACGAGGGCACCGAACGGAGGACTGTGTGCCGCTAAAACAACATTTGGAGGAGTTGGTGGCGGCAGGGCATCTGGACCAGTACATAGACGGCGATATGAAAGCCGCTCTGAGGACAGGGCGAGCCAAACGGCCTCGCCGTCCTGGATGCAGCGTCGCAGGGCGTGATCAATGTCATCCATGGCATCATTGAGCCGGCAAGGGTCTGCGAATTAAGAGAGATGATCAAGAAAGCTGAGCACATGAGAGAGGTGCTCTCCGTTCTGCCCGCCGTGAAAAAGGGAAGACCGAGGAAAACGACGTCCTGACCTTTTCTAGCAAAGACTTGGAAAGGATTTAAGTGCCTCATAATGACGCCCTAGTGGTGACCCTCTGTGTCAAGGACTTCGACATCAAAAGAATTCTAGTTGACCAGGGGAGTTCGGTCGAGATCATGTATTACGACGCATTCAAACAGATGAAGTTGGAGGACAAGGACTTGGCCCCCGCAACGTCTCCATTGGTTGGCTTTAACTCTCAACCAGAATGGCCGATCGGAAAGATCATATTGTCGGTAAAAGCGGGATCAGTCGCGAAGCAAGTGGAGTTTTGGGTGCTTAAAGTCCCATCGACCTACAACTTAATTTTGGGCAGGGGCTGGTTGCATGCCATGCAGGCGGTAGCATCGACCTACCATCAGGTCTTGCGCCTCCCGGCACCAACCGGATAGATAGAAGAGGTTTGGGGAGACTAGGTGATGGCAAGACAGTGCTTCGTCGCAGTAAAGGGCAGTAGAGCTGCCAAGGGCTTTGTGCAAATGATAGAGGGCCCCGAGGGGAAGGAAGTCCTGAAAGACGTAGGAAGAAAGGCCAAGGAGAAATCGGTCGAAGACTTGGTGGAGGTGCGTATAGACGAGAACGACCCAAACAAGTTCTTTCTTTTGGGCTCATCCCTGTCCAGCGCCGAGCGACTTGAGTACGTTGACTTTTTGATTTCCAATATAGAGGCCTTCGCATGGACACCTTACGATATGCCTGGCGTCGACCCTAGCTTCATTTGCCACCGGTTAAACGTCTTTCCAAATGCATGGCCGGTCATCTAGAGGACACGGCGCTCGGCCTTGCACCATGCCGAGATAGTGGCGGAAGAGGTCAAAAACTTGCTGAAAGCTGGGGCGATAGAAGAAGTGCAATACCCCAGATGGATCTTTAACACGGTGGTAATACAGAAGAAGAATGGTAAATGGCAGGTGTGCGTCGATTATAAGACAGTCAACCGTGCATGCCCAAAGGACAGCTTCCCCCTCCCAAGAATCAAACAACTTTGCGTTGATTATAAGACGGTCAACCGTGCGTGCCCAAAGGATAGCTTCCGCCTCCCAAGAATCGACCAGCTGGTGGACTTGACCGCTGGCCATCAGAGGTTCAGCTTCCTCGATGCGTATCGTGGCTACCACCAGATAGCCATGTATGAACCAGACCGAGAGATCACTTCGTTCACCACTCCGCGTGGCCTGTACTGCTACAAGGTCATGCCATTCGGACTAAAAAACGCTGGGGCAACTTTTCAAAGAATGGTAACCAAGATGTTTGCTCCCCTTCTAGGCCGCACCATGGAGGCTTACATCGATGATATGGTGGTAAAGAGCAAGGAAAAATCTCGACACCTCGCCGACCTAGCAGAGATGTTTACTACACTCAAACATCACAAACTGCGTTTGAATGCCTCCAAGTGCGCCTTCGGAGTCTGCACCGGAAAATTCCTAGGTGTTTTGGTCACGAACCGAGGAATTGAAGTCGACCCTTCCCAAATCAAGGCGATACAAGAGCTGGAGCGCCCAAACTCCACGAAGGACGTGCAACATCTTGTCGGGATGGCAGCCGCGCTGAACAGATTTATCAGCCGGTCTTCAGATCGTTGCAGGCCCTTCTTCAAAACTTTGAAGGCCAAGTTCTTCTAGGATGACGAATGTGACCGTGCATTGGCAGATCTGAAAGCATACCTTTCCTCAGCCCCTATCCTGGTCACACCAAAATCGGGTGAAGAACTGTATCTCTACTTGGCAGTCTCTCAACATACGGTAAGCGCCGTGCTGAGGGTACCCAGCACCTCCCCATCTTCTACGTAAGCAAGACCTTGCTCCCGGCTGAATCAACATATCTGCCGCTAGAAAAATTGGCTCTGGCCCTGATGATGGCCTCCAGAAAGCTAGCGCACTATTTTCATGCTCACACAGTCGTTGTGCTAACCGAATTTCCACTTAAGGTGCTCTTCGAAAAGGTTGATTTTACTGGCAGAACTCTAAAGTGGGCTGTAGAATTGGGGCAGTATGATATCAAGTTTCAACCGCGCACTGTCATCAAAGCTCAAGCTCTTGCCGACTTCGTGGCGGAATTTGCCCTAGGAACACACCCCGTTTGCCCTATCGATGTGGCCAGTCCGGATTTGGCGCAGCCCATGGCTCAGATAGTAGATACGAATAGCGGACAACAAGCGGCGAAAGGGCAAACGAAAGCCGAACAAAAAATGCAGGAACCGGACAACCTGTCAAAGCACGGGCTCGATTGGGGCATAGAAAGAAACCAGAATGAACCGACCAGTACCCCGCAGCTGAAAAGCTCCCAAAATCCCTCCGACTGCTAGAAATATTTCATTGGCGAGATGTGGAAACTCTTCGTCGATGGGGCCTCCAACAGGCACGACACTGGGCTGGGTAGTGTCCTAACCTCCCCAGATGGGCTGACCATAGAGCATGCGATCACACTCGATTTTCCAGCGTTCAACAATGAGGCGAAATATGAAGCCCTCCTTACTGGATTGAAAGCGCATTGAGGATGAAAGCGTCGGAGGTTATGGTATTCAGCGACTCCAAACTGGTAATCAATCAGGTCTCTGGGGAGTATGAGGCCAAGGATGAAAGGATGGCCAAATATCAGGCGCTGGGACGCGCTGAACTCAAAAAGGTTGCTGCGATAAGAATGGAACAAATTAACCGCGAGGAGAACAACGCAGCTGACGAACTAGTCGGCCTTGCATCCATGCAAACAACTTTTCCCAATTCTTTGATGACAGATTTTTTACCCCGGCCTAGCATTGAGGAACCGGAGGTGCCTGAAGTACTCTGCGCCGACTTAGGACCATCCTGGATGGACCCCATCATCGCCTTCCTAAAGGATAGAATTCTACCAGAAGAAAAGAAGGCGGCCAACAAAATCCGAGCCAAATCAAAGCGGTTTTGGCTCTCTCCATCTCGAGCCTTATACAAGAAGTCTTTCACTGGGCCGTATCTGAAGTGCGTCCACCCTGACAAGGTGGAAGCCTTCCTCTATGAGATTCATGAAGGCATTTGCGGGAGTCGTATTGGGGGAAGGTCTTTGGCTTACCGAGCGATTTCCCAAGGTTATTGGTGGCCGTGCATGCAGGCAGACGTGCAGAAATACGTTCGCAGGTGTGAAAAATGTCAAAAATTTGCTCACTAAATTCACCAGCCGGCCAGAGAGCTGCTCCCCCTTACAAGTCCTTGGCTGTTTGCACTTTGGGGGCTGGATATTGTGGGACCACTCCCAACAGCTCCGGGCAACCGCAAGTTTTTCATCGTTGCTACCGACTACTTCACTAAGTGGGTTGAGGCCGAGCTGTTGGCAACCATAAAGGAAAAAGATGTGAAGAAGTTTGTTTGGCAAAATGTCGTCACTCGCTTCGATATACCGAAGGCCCTTATTTCGGATAATGGCACTCAGTTCGATGGGAAACTCTTTCACGGATTTTGCGAAGAGTTAAAGAATGAGTTCTACAACTCAACACCGGCCTACCTTCAGTCAAATGGTCGAGCAGAAGCCTTAAACAAGACCATCCTGGACGAGCTGAAGAAGCGGCTAGAGAAAGCCAAAGGGAAGTGGGCTGAAGAACTACCTAATGTGCTCTGGGCATACTGCACCACGCCGAGATGTTCGACCGGGAAAACACCATTTGCCTTGGCCTATGGCATGGAGGCTGTTATCCCACTGGAAATCGGCATGCCGACCATCCGGTCTGAAAGTTTTCAGCCAGACTTGAATAATGAAGCAGTGGCCTTGGAGCTTGACGTAGCAACCTACCAGCAAGAACTCTCCAGGAAATACAACAAGACCGTGCATCCAAGGCTATTCAAGATCGGAGACTGGGTCTTGAGAAAGGTGATGGGCAACACGGTGATCCCTGGCGAAGGCAAACTAGGTGCAAATTGGGAAGGGCCGTATAAGGTAACTGGCCTTGCAAGCAAAGGGGCCTACCATCTAGAAGATTTAGATGGTAAAGCTATCCCCAGATCGTGGAATGCAGCTAATCTTAAGATTTTTTACTTCTGAAATGTAATCTCTTCTGTTCCCTTCTCTTTTGAATTTGGCCCTTTGGCACCAGATGTAAATATCTGACGTGTAATGAAAGATGACCCTATATTTTCCTACCTCCTTATATTATGTGTTTCTGTACAATGACATCACAAGGGTATTGGGCCACTATGAATGCCAGGGGCAAGAAGCCAACAATGGCTTGACAGAGGCCGTACAAACAGTTGGTGTATTGTCCAACTTGCATAAGGGCCCAGTTGATTTTACTCGCCCGAGTGAAATGTTGACGTTTTGTCCAACTTGTAGAAGGGCCGAGCTGATTTTGTTCGCCCAAGTGAAATGTTGGCGTTTTGCCCAACTTGCAAAAGGGTCGAGCTGACTTTGTTCGCCCGTGTAAAATGTTGGCGTTTTGTCCAACTTGCAGAAGGGCCAAGCTGATTCGGCCATTCCCAAGTGAAATGTTGGTGTTTTGTCCAACTTGCAAAAGGGCCGAGCTGACTTTGCTCGCTCAAGTAAAATGTTGGCGTTTTGTCCAACTCGCAGAATGGCCGAGCTGATTTTGCTCGCCCAAGTGAAATGTTAGCGTTTTGCCCAACTTGCAAAAAGGGCCGAGCTGACTTTGCTGGCCCGAGTAAAATGTCGGCGTATTGTCCAAATTGCAGAAGGGCCGAGCTGACTTTGCTCGCCCGAATAAAATATCAACGTTTTTGTTAGCATATTATATTATTATCTGAGCTTTTTTGGTGTGTAATTATTCTATGCCCTATGGGCTCGACTTGTAATTGTCTCATCTTGTAAATCCTAATCTTCATTTATAAATAGGGGATAATATTTTATCAAACCCTAAGCTGGTTACTCAAGCTTCATGGTACCAGAGCAGAACCTCTAGGGTTTCGGCTCACCCTTGTTGGTCGACCTTTGCACCAACGACTCTAGGGTTCGAAACTTACCTAGGTTGATCATCTGCTGCGATCTTCCGCTCGTCGTTGTCACTCAGTCGATCTCCTCAATTCGTTGCCGTCGTCTTTAGCTCGCCTTCCTCTGTCGGTCTCCTTACTCAGTCGATCTCCTCAGCCCGTCGACCTCCTCAGTCGATCTTCTCCGCCAGTCGATCTTCCAGCAGTTCGTCGATCTCTCTCTGGTATACTCTCTCATCACTGTTTGGTATACTTATGTCGTGTATATAGACCGCACCAATACATATATAAATGAATAACTAAATAAATAAAAAAAAATGGTTTCTTAATTTTGTTATGCTTTTATAGTGGTCATTGTGCCTGTTCTTTCATCACTACCTTCCGGGTTTGTGATTGCCACTAGTTTTGTTGCGGGTTCGGTAGTATAGTATCCATGACAGATTCCACCAGTGTGTCCCCTACTTCTCAAACACCGAGGAGTGAGAGTCTTATTATACCTGCTACCATGACTAAGAACCCCAACCCTAGTCTGAAAATCACCACCTCTTTATTTAATGGTCAGAACTACCGAGCATGGTCTCAAAGTTTGACAACGTTTTTGAAGAGCAGAGGGAAGATGGGGTATGTTGATGGCCTACAGGCACCTAATACCACTGACTCGGGTTATGACCAATGGGAGATTACCAATTCTTTAATTATGGGTTGGCTTATTCATTCGATGGTTCCTGAAATTGGTGAGGGTTACTTGTCTATGGAGACTGCCCAGGATGTTTGGGATGCTGTGGCTGCCACCTATTCCCGCAAAGGGAATTTCTCACAGGCATTTGAGTTGCGCCGCTCTGTTGAGAGCTCACTTCAAGGGGAGCAGACTATTCTTCAGTATTTCACTTTCCTCACCAACGGCTGGAAACGCCTTGACCACCTGGAAGACTATAAGCCCGTTTGCCCTGCTGATTCTATCGAGTACAAGAAGTTCATCGCACGGGAACGGGTCTTTAAATTTCTGGCAGGCCTAAATGTGGAGTATGATCCAGTTAGGGGTCGAGTTCTGGGTATGGACACTCTTCCTTCACTTCATGAGGCATTTGCCTATGTACAAAATGAGGAGAGTCGCCGGTCTGCTATGATGTCCCCTGTCTCTACTGATCGCTCAACATTACTGTCTACTCCTCGAGATGGCTTCAACCTGACTCCCATCCCTTTGTCTGCTGCTAAGGAGTCTGTATTCTGTGATTATTGCAAGAAGCCGCAACATACTCGTGAGACGTGTTGGAAGCTTCATGGGACTCCATCCGGGGGTAGAGGTGATCGGTCTGGTTCTTGAGGAGGTCGGTCAGGCTAGTCTAGAGGACGTGGTTCCTATTCCCGGGCTCATCAGTCTAGTGCCGTTGATACACTTGATTCTAATTCTGCTTCCGTTGGCCAAGCTTCTGATACTGACCTGGAGGATGCTTTGCGCCAATTGTTGGATCGCCGGTCTTCTACTGCTCTCAGTATAACTTCCTCGTCCTTTGCCCGCTCAGGTAACTTAGCCTCTTCTCCTTGTGTTTTCCTGTGTCATAAGTCTTTGCCTTGGATTATTGATTCCGGTGCCTCCGATCATATGTTTGGCTCCTCTGATCTTTTAGGATTGCAGATAGTACTGTTTCTTCCATTTCTGGAAAAAGTTTAGTCCAAGTCACTCCTACCATACATCTATCTTTTGTTCTCCATGTTCCCAATTTTTCTGTTAATCTGTTATCCTTGAGTCGTCTTACCCAGGATTTGAATTGTAGTGGGATGTTTTTCCTTGATCATTGTCTTTTTCAGGACCTTGTCACGAAGAGGACGATTGGCAGTGGTAGTGCAGAAAATGGTCTCTACTTCTTGGATCAACAGGATAAACTTGCTTATTCTTCCACCACGTCTTCTACTACCCCCGCTGATTTATGGCTGTGGCATCGGCGTCTTGGGCATCCTTCCTTTTATTTACTTAAGCATTTATTTCCATCTGGTTTCGCAAATCATCATGTGTCTGACTTTCTTTGTGAGTCTTGTCAACTTGGAAAACAACACAGAGCTTCTTTTGCTCCCAGTTTGAATAAAAGTTAAGTTCTTTTTTCATTAATACATTCTGATGTTTGGGGTCCCTCTCGTGTTATGTCTGTGAAAGGTCATCGATGGTTTGTTACATTTATTGATGATTTTTCTCGTGCTACTTAGGTGTATCTCATGAAAGATAAGAGTGAGGTTTTCTCTGTGTTTCGCAATTTTCATAAGATGATTTGTACTTAGTTTGGGGGCCACTGTCAAACTATTTCGTTCTGATAATGGCGGGGAATACATAGATTCTGGGTTAGGACAATATTTCTCTTCTCATGGCATTGTCCATCAGACCTCTTGCACCAATACCCCTCAACAAAATGGGGTGGCGGAACGCAAGAATCGGCATCTTCTTGACATGGCTCGGTGCATGTGTTTTTCTATGAGTGTGCCTCGGCCCTATTGGGGCGACGCTGTTCTCACCGCTGCCCATCTTATTAATCGTCTCCCTACCCAGGTCTTGCAAAAACAAGCTCCTCTTCACGTCCTCCTCGGTTCTCAGTCCTTATTTTCTATTCCTCCCAAAATTTTTGGTTGTGTCTGTTTTGTTCATAATCACTCTCCTTCTCGTGGTAAGTTGGAACCTCGCTCCCGCAAGTGTGTTTTCCTTGGTTACTCTCCTACTCAAAAGGGATATAATACCACCCTCCTTCTCGTAAGTGGTTTGTGTCCATGGATTTTACTTTCTTTGAGTCCTAGTCCTATTTATTGTCCTCTCCGGTGTCACCGTCCTCATTTCCGGGGGAGCCTTGGTGTGAAGTGAGTCCTGTGCCCCCTATGGTGGAACCAGTTGTTCTTGCACCACCCTCTACTACTGTGCTTCCTATGGTGGAACCAGTTGTTCTTGCACCTTTGCGCGTGACGAAGACAGCTGTGGGTCTACATGGAACCAATGGTGTGAAGCCACATGGCATCGAAAAGATGGCTTTGTCAGTATGGCTGTACGATCGATGACTAGACTACTGGGGCACGACCGACCAATTCGGATGGCCCAGTCAAAATGAACTATTGACTTTGTTGCCGAGCGGAGAACCTTCAGGTCGGACAGCTCTTCGTGCTTTTTCCTGTTGGCAGGAAGGAACAGCCCTTTGGTCATGTTGAAGCCGAGAGAGTAATCCTTGTCCGCGTCGACCGAGTCCGCCGTAGAGACAGCCCGGCCTTTGTATGTTAACTCGGGCGACCAGACTGGGTGGGCACTGGATCGAGCTGATGGCTCGGTGATCGGCTGTTCAGTCTGGTCCCCCAAGTTGGTAGAAGCATGCTCGGTTGAATCTTCATCTGCCAAATGTTGTTCGGTCTGATTTTTTCTCGGCCTTTTCTTTGACCGTTCGCCAAGTTGGTAGAGCTACTCCTCCTTACAAGTCCTTGGCCGTTCGCCCTTTGGGGACTAGATATTGTGGGACCACTCCCAACAGCTCCAGGCAACCGCAAGTTTTTCATCGTTGCTACCGACTACTTCACTAAGTGGGTTGAGGCCGAGCCGTTGGCAACCATAAAGGAAAAAGATGTGAAGAAGTTTGTTTGGCAAAATGTCGTCACTCGCTTCGGTATACCGAATGCCCTTATTTCGGATAATGGCACTCAGTTCGATGGGAAACTCTTTCACGGATTTTGCGAAGAGTTAAAGAATGAGTTCTACAACTCAACACCGGCCTACCTTCAGTCAAATGGTCGAGCAGAAGCCTTAAACAAGACCATCCTGGACGGGCTTAAGAAGCGGCTAGAGAAAGCCAAAGGGAAGTGGGCTGAAGAACTACCCAATGTGCTCTGGGCATACTGCACCACGCCGAGACGTTCGACCGGGAAAACACCATTTGCCTTGGCCTATGGCATGGAGGCTGTTATCCCACTGGGAATCAGCATGCCGACCATCCGGTCTGAAAGTTTTCAGCCAGACTTGAATAATGAAGCAGTGGCCTTGGAGCTTGACCTAGCAACCTACCAGCAAGAACTCTCCAGGAAATACAACAAGACTGTGCATCCAAGGCTATTCAAGATCGGAGACTGGGTCTTGAGAAA